GGGGGGGAGGGAACATTATTCGAGAAAAAAATAAACGCCCCAGAGTGTGTATTCGAGGGAGGCGTTTATTCAATATGAGGATCTGGACTAGGCGTTTATATTCGATGGCGGAATTTATTCAAATAAATACGTATTTTCTTTCTTGCGACATTACACTTTCCACAATTTGTTTCCATTTGTTTGTGTTCAAGGCAGGATGATTTGTTATAGTGTTTGTGTTCACTTTTTTTTACTTTGACTTATCCAGTTATTTTTGGGTCTTCCTATTGGTTGTTTTAATTTGTTTTAGCTCCATTGTTTTTTTTTACTAGTGTTTCATCCAGTAATTATGTGTCCGCACCATTTTAATCTCCAGCGTTTAATTCTTATGCTTTCCTTCTTGTTTTGTTATGCTGTATAACCTTGCGGTACTAACGTTATCTGTTAATTTAATGTTTAGCATCTTTTGTAACATTTTCCTATGATAGAATTAGATGTCAATGCTTTCCTTTAAATCCTTGTTCATGACCTAACGTTGACAGTTATATAGGGAAATACTTGTTGTATACAAATACTTGTTCATTTAATTGATTGATTGAATGAGTTTTGTATGTTAAGTGGAATACTTAAATTCACAACTCCATAAATGGTTTCACTTTTGGAAAAAAATATACATTACAGTATTATAAAGGTGTGTTCAATCGACCTTTGATCCTCACAGTTAACTATAATGATTCTAATCTACAATTCAATACTACAGTACCGTTCATAAATGCTGCACGTTTTAGACGCATCTGACGCATCCTGAATTCGTCCACGATGCGTCCTGAATACGTCCGAAATCTGGACGCGTCTAACGCTAATAACGGTTCAGACAAACTGTTTATTTGACGCAGGCTTGTCAAATTAACAATTAATTAACAAGTCATCGTCAACGCAGACCAAACTACAAACAAGTAAGGGAGTGGTAATCAAATGAAACAGACACTCAACAATATTCTACACTACTATGGGAACCTCTGTATCGGGCAACAGCCAAAATTCCCGTTGCCAATGGTGACTGTCTCCGTTTAACAAACCTTTTATCTTTTAGGTAATAATAGCACAACCGCGCCTCTGATAAGAAACCGGGTAACGAATACGTGTACACATATGTTTAGCTATCCGTAACGGTTTGTAGTCATTCTGAGTTTTTCGCAATCACAGTGCAATTCGTTGTAGGCCTAGGGCGTTAGCTTAGGGTCTAAACTAGGCCTACTGTATACAGACAGTACTTTGTTTTCTACTCTCATCATGCTTCTCAAAGTTTTAGTATGTAAGGTTTTGAAAATTGAAATTGGTAGCTGAACAATACTCCTTCCTTTGTTGCCTAGATGAGTTGGTTATTTTGTGATAGGACCTATTGTTTATGATCCAACAAATGCCTGGCTACAAGCTAGGCCTATGCTCACACGAAAATCCCTACACCACCAAGCTCCAAGCACCAACGTTTTGATACCCCAAAATGAGACGCATCCTATCGTAATTTGCTGCCTTCAAATGTCACAAAAATGTTATTACATATTATAGAACATGGCAGTATGCATAGTTCCTTGCATGCAAGAGACACTGGGAGGCCTTTTCTTTTTTTTTTTCTCTCATTTTATAAATGGCATTTCTACAAATTGTTAACATTGCGCTGTCAAAGGAAGTGAAATTGATGAGCGTGCACTTAGTAAGTCACAATATTGGTGGTCACTCTGAATATTGCCTGCCGAGGGATATGATGATAACATTGAGGAATAAAGTGATGGCATACAAGTGATTTTACACTGTAGCATTTAAGGTGTACGGTAGATGAGGTCACTAATGCAAAACTTCTGCTTTTTTCTAAATTTCGCTGGTGACATTTTGTGTTCACACTGCAAATTTGTATACTTTTGTTAAGCATTATTTTATCAGCATATTTTCGTCAATTTTTCTTCACATCAAAGAAAAATCTACAAAATATTCTTTAGAAAGAGACGAATTAATCCAACTTTATCAAGCATGGTTTAATGGATAATCAAAATGAATTGAATTAATGATTCTTATAAAATGGATATTTTTTGTAATTTAACCAAATTATATCTACATACAAGTTTACAAATGACAACAATGTCAAAGACAAGAATTCAATGATGAAATAAAAATTCTATTAATGCTGTTTGTATATGTAGTTTTGTGTACTTATATAATGGGCATTTTATTTTATAACTTTTTTTGTGTGTTCATATTGCAATTTTGTCAAATTCTATCCATACATGTAATAATTTTAGCAAGCACGTTTTGATAGATTGATTGAGAAATTTGATTTAATTAATGATTTAATAAAATGGATTTCTATTTGAGAATAAAACAAATTATATCCATATAAAATTTTACAAATGGCAATGGATGTAAATTACAAAATAAAATTTTCTCTAAAGGTACTATAGATAATATAGATAAGTGTTAAGTTTAAATAGCTTTTTATGGTGTGCAATGGCATAGCTAGGATTTCAAAAAAGGGAAGCATATGAACAAAAAAAAGGGGAGGGGGTGCTCATATATTAGGCCTACATACTGTATCAAATACAGTATAAGTGATAAAATGAGAGATGCATGCATATTATGTTTCATTTTATAATTATACAATACTGTTGTATTTAACTGTAGATGGTATGTGATGCAGATGGAAAATATGCCTACCAGGCACTCTAATGTAAATTAAGGATTCATTAAAATATAGGAGATATTATGTATCAACAATATATACAAAGCTACATCAAGCAATAAGAACAGGAAATTGAAAAACAATAAAAATCACAATGCCTGGAAAGGTTAAATGTATTACGGCTGGTAACAACAACTGTAGACTGGACCCTAGTATAAAATCAGGTAGTGTGACTCCCCCTCATACAATCCAATTTTACAAACTCACTCAGCCCCATGTGAGTGGAATAGGCTTATGAAATGGACGCCTGTGCATACCTGCTTCAGTCTGAACCCAGGAAAGAAAGCATAAGCATTGCTAAGCCTTCTCAAATGACTGCCTAATAATAGACCGTATTCTTATACAAATCGGTTCATTATGCTCCAGTGCTAAATAAACCAGTCATGGGTGCCTTTCGCGGCCCGGGTCTTATCCGTTGAACCAGGTAGGATGGGCTAAGTAAGTACTTAGCTATACCTCTCATATTCTTATTCCCGTTCTTACGACGGAAATAAATCAATCTACAATAACATTATACAGACACGATCACATCACGTCTGTGATTAAATAATATTCAAAAATAATGTGTTTTACAGTATTTCAATCCTACCTTGTGAAATGTAAAATAATCAGCCGCACCCAAAAATCTAGTTTTACTGCCGCTGTCGCGCAAAAGGTCGTTCGGTCTGCAGGATCGAACGGAAAACAACAAGCTGGGGCGGGGTCTCACACAACCACTTGATGGATTGTGCCGGTCGGTTTGGCCAATCACAATTGAGTATGTATGACAGGCTGTCTTCCCATGTCATACAAACCCAGAGGTATATCTGCTAGGCCTGTATATAGTATATAAAACACTGTATAACGGAACCCGGAGCAACTAATTTACAGCCTATATTAACGAACAATATTATCTTATATAACCATTACAAATTTATTGACTGGACATATTAGGTGTTATAGTTATGGGATGGGACTGATATTTTGAAGCGTGTCTGTTATAAATACCAAATTTGTTGCCTTGAGGCGCTCCGCGGTTGTGAATGACAAGTCTAAAATCTGTGAATAAATTAAGCTAAGTTCAAGTGGCGGATCCAGGAATTCCAAATATAGCGGGGGTGGGGGACACAGTTAGGGACCTTTCCTGGGGCGGATGCAGGGGTAGAAGAGGAGGTGCAGACGGTGAGATCGCATCCCCCTAAAATAATTGTTGTATTGTATTGTTGATATGAATTACTGGTAAGATTTTTAAGGTATAGGCCTAAGAGTGCAATTTCCTGGAGGTCCACATTCTCAAAATGCTCTTGCCTCGGCTCCTACTATGGTGGGGCTGAAGTGGTGTGGACTTTCACGCACCCCTACCGCCAAATCCTCATCCGCCCCAGCTTTGATGGGTGGGGGTGGGGACCTCATCTATACCGTGGAATGAGATTGCTTATAATATATCAGTGCAGAATGTTCTTTAATGTATTTCATTATGTTCATTATAATACTACAGTATAAGAATGCATAGATAGGCTTATGTATTTGTTATTATTTCTGCATACATATGAGAAGTGGGACACTTCTTAGGGGGTGGAGTAGTGTAACCTTTCAACAGTGATGGCGCCAGGACCTGCCCGACGGAGGGGCTAAAGGCCCCGGCGGGGGAGGGGGCTAGTGGAGCGAATCGAGTCTCACTTGAGTGGGGGCCAGGGGGCCACGGATATTTGATGAAATGGCGAATTTTTATTACTTATTTGATAGGCATCGAGTTATTATAATATGACTTCATGTAGGCTATGCTTTCTAATGTTGAAATCAGCTTCCAAAACCAAAACATTTTGAATGAAACAAGAACAAAGGGTACGGTATGCAATGTAACCATCTACAGTAATTAAGTAAAATTCTATATTTTGGAAATTTTGCATGAAATCTGTCAACCACGCTTTCATGGTCGAGGTTGCTTCACCTATCACGATGTATTCCAACCATCATGAGGCTATCTAAATGAGCATTTGTCATAACAGAACGCAAATTATTTTTAATTAGTCTCATTGAATTATTATTATTATTATTATTATTATTATTATTATTATTATTATTATTATTATTATTATTATTGTTATTGTTATTGTTATTGTTATTATTATTGTTATTGTTATTGTTGTTGTGATGAAAATTTAACACAAACAATATGGTGACTAAACGAATATTACATGTAAATATTTTTTTTATTTGTTCCCCGACAAAATTCACCGTCTTTCCCGACGGGGGGGAGGGGGTTATGCTTCCCCGAGGGGGGGCTATAGCTCCCCCTCTGGCGCCACCACTGCTATTCATATTATGGGATGGTGCCGCGAAATAGTCTCGTGGGCCGCCCGATAGGATAGGAGGAGACTAGAAAAAGAGACGAGTCTCGGGGACCGGTGTGAACAAGCTGCGTCTTGTGGTCACGATTTGCATTGAAGAATAAAACCATTTTATGATCAGCTTTACATGGTGTCTGTATCTCATTGTATTTCTCGAAAACTATAGGGTCACACTTCTAGGTGGCCGAAAATGGCACTCTCACTTGAATTTTATTTGAATTTTTCTTTGCATTTTCTTTTTAATTAAAGAAATTAAATGTGAGGGGCGCCGCTGGGCCCGTTTGAAGCCGCCTCTGAGTGCAGTACCACCCGGCAGTGGGGCCGACAGGCCGGGGTATCAGGGGCAAGCGCCCCGGGGCCCACGATAACTAGGTAAAAAAATAAAATAAAATAAATAAATAAAAATTATTAAACGTTTAATACATTCATCCAGTATCATTCATGTGTTTTCCCCATGAGCATTGTAAAAAAAGCTGACCGTAATCGCCTTATTATTTTTCATGACTTCTTTTCCAAATCAAATCAAAATAATAAAATCAAGATGTAAAAATTTAAAATCCGGAAAGATCATAAAAAGGCAAGAAACACTGGAATACTGAAAACAGATTTAAATAAATGGAAGAGGGCAGCGCTCAAAAAGGAACACCAAGTGAAAACAAAGTAATTCTCACATGGCAATTGCCCTGAGTGATATCAAAACAATCATCGTCATTATCATTACTCTCATCATCATAATCATCTTCATCATCCAGCCTGTCATCTTCATACCGCTTCAACATCACTATTATCAAAGAGTGTTGTTACATTTAATATACTGAATTAATCCTTAGATGGGCACCGCTACTGCATTATGGGAACCAATACTGCAGGTGTTGTTATATTGTATATATTAATTCTTTAGATGTGCACCGCTATTGCATTTATTTTATATTTATTTATTCTTTATACTGTAGGCACTTTCAGTACAATTTAAACATAACAAAAATATATACAATATAAAGAATTGTTAACAAAAAATAAAAAGAACATAAGCACCGCTATTGCAGTATGGGCACCACTACTGCAGGTGTTGTTATGAACACCCTAAAATTAATATGGATATGAACAATATGAAATAAATTGAGACAGGGCCGGTACTAATGTGTGTTGTAGAATAATAATTGGTTCATAGCCAAAGCGTCCTAGGCCTAGGGGCCAGACCTACATCACCATATAAATTGTAATGTAATTATTACCTAGACTTACTAGGCCTAGCCTATGCCCACATTCTCCATCGGGCCGTCTCGGATTGACTCGACTCGAGTTCGATACGAACAAGAGCAGGCATTTCGCAATGTCGTGACTCTGCAGTATTCTATTACCACTACTGCACTGTTCTTTTTATATATGTTTACCTACGGTAGGCCTATAAAATCTTATCGATTTATGGGATGTAAGCTACGTCTGTAACTACTGTGAGCTTCTTGTATGTCTGTTATCAAATGTAATACTACCTACAACAACAACAGCTAGTACCCCCCCCCCCCCTTCTATATAGGGTGTAGTACCAGTAGTAAAATAGGTAAATTCCTGTTAAAGGCTGAGCAAAAGAGTTTATGCTTACAATGTTACAAATAGTACCGTAAATTCTTTACGTTATTATTTATAATTATTAAAGGCTTCGACCCTGGACATCGTCAATATACATACAAGTTAGAAAATATGAATAGACCTGATATAGAGAATCGATTGCCAAATAAACACTGAATGAAGCCACTATGGTGGGACTGATGTAGAAAACCGTCCATTGTGAAAGTCCTTCTCTGTGCCCCTTCTCTTTCAAATTCCTGTATCCACCACTGTAAACTTTGATACTTATGTTATGAATCTTTTCAGAATGTTTGAATAAAAGGAAGAATAGGGTTGACTTTTCTTGTTCCTGTACTTTATTTTTCATGACCTGGTAAAATTAGGGACTCTACAATCGATTAAATTAGTCATCTAATCCGTTAAAAGGCCGTAGCTTCCGAGATGTGGAGGAAACCAGGGATCTTACCCTCGAGGGCCACTAGGGCCGCAGGCGGCCCCAGACCCCCATGGGTCCGGGCAGCGAAGATGCCCCGGGCCCGCAGCCTTTCTCGGCGGCCCTGCCACCCGGCCACCACAGACACGATAAAGACAAAATATGAAACTGAAAAATATAAAGACAGTGTCTATATAATAATGTATAATATCATAATGCGTAGTTTCAAGAATAATCTTAATATGTACGATAGTCTACTCGATTTGAAGTGAAATTTCACTTTACAAAATAATGTTGATGCTACTTTTATAAAATCATCAAATTAACAAATCCAGATAGAGTTATAGAAAATATGCATATATTAAGCGGTACCATCACAAACCAAATAATGTTTTTCAACCACTTTATGTCTGCTTTACGTTTAGAAACTAATTCTTTAGTTGGCAATTTCTGCATTGTTTTACTTTCCTCTTCGTATTTCTCGCAGGCTTTTTTGAGCGTCCAATGTAAGCGATTGAGGGCGGCACATCTACGAGAAATGCTTGCTTTATTTGCGCGCAGTAGTCTCTGGTCCCGTTTCAACTTTTGCACTCGTATATTCTGCTCCGTTAAAGCTTCTATTTGTGCGTGATAAACGTTGTTTTTACTGGCTAACTTGACGTGTTCGGCTTGGGCTTCTTCCACTGCGCATTTTAGTTTCACTCGTGTGTCTTTCTTTATATTGAGTGTCTCCTGAATTTTCTCTAAGTTCATTTCATCATCGGTTTGATTTTGTTCACAGTTGACGTGTTGTCCTTCACATGTTTCATTGTTTCTGCTTTCACATAACATGTCTAATACTTTATCATCGGTCTTCCTAGCTAACTTTTCCTTTAAAAGATAATGAAAATGTAACTTGTGTTAGCACCGGTTGCAGAACGTATGGCAATCGATATAGATTATCTCATTTCTTTCTTTATAATACAATAAAATACTCAACCCATACAGGCATCGCTTGTACCTGTACCGACATAGTGTGGTGAATCATCGCTTCTGATTCACCTCTCCCGTTGAAAGTGTTAGCAATTTTACTGTTGATAAAAAGAGAGAGTAAACAGAAATATTGTTACCATAGAGAGCATACGTACGCGTTATGGCGGTATCGTTGCGCGGCAACAACGGTTTAACGGTGCGCGCAACATACGCATCATATTACTACGCGACAGGGTAACGTATTAGAGCAATCATGGTCGTACGTAATCAATGGAAATTAAAGCTTAATTCACACACAAGGCAATTCAACATCAACAAGACCTAATAGAAGCGTTTTGTCGTAAACGAACGCCACGTCTACTGTACCGCCATTCAGTGTGAATCACTTAAAATTGCAAGTGTACAAACATACGAAGTTGACTGGGACACGGCGTGACGTAAGCAA